AGTTTGAGATGAGAATAAGCCGCTTGAGTCCCTCTCAGATCACTCCATAGCTGTATCCTCTCTGCAGCCGTATTATGGGCATAGATAGCTGAGCAACTGAAGTGCTCCCTTGTGGTTGGAATCTGAATAGCGCACGTTATAATCTGGTCACTCGTATGCAATTTTGTTACCACCACCTAATTGGACCAACAAAACCAGATTCTGCCAAGCAAATGGTAGTCATAGTTCGCCAAAACCTGCCAATTTGGCAAAGCCGCATCCATACACTTCTTGACCTTCTCTTCTTGAACCCTCGTTTCTATAAGGCATCCAAACAGTGACTTCTCAGCTTGAACCCCAACTCCTAACAGCTCTGTGTTTGCATGGCATACTAAATTCCCGCATGTTCCAAGCAAAGAGACTCGTCATGCTTCCTTACGGAAGGTTTTTTTTTTGTTGACCTTGCCTACCTCCAAACTTTAAATCTTTCGCTCGAACAATTGTCTTCTTTGCAAATTTATTTGAGACGGCCGCATTTTGACGTCTCCCTTTTGTAGAAGATTTGGAGGGAGCCTCCCTATTTTCCACCACTTCGCCCTCCTCTAATTCCTCCTCCTCCTCCTCATCTCTATTCAATTCTTCATCATCCCTCTGATTATCTGCATCATCCTTCTTCTCAAGATCCATCAAAGGACTGAAACGAGATGGAGAGATCACTTCCCAGAAGCCCTTGTTAAATTTAATCCATTCTTATCTTTAAATTCAATCCTTTCTACCAGCGGTTCGTGCAAGTTTACCTCAGCTAGCACACGAGCTACATCCAGTCGGGTACACCTCTCCGTGTTGGGATATAGCTTAACAAACTTCCCAGCAGCCCTTGTTAAGAATTTCAAACCTTTGTAAGAGAAAAAATCATTTGGCACCCCCTTAAGATCAATCCAAACTGACATGGCACTAAGATCTGGGGGTTTCGAAGCCGCTTCTGGTGACCATTCACTCACCACCAAAGGTACATCGGAGATATGCCATTAACGCCTATGAATCTCTCGGGATCTCGTATGAATGTTTTCAATACGAAACAAGACAGTTTTCTTCTCAATAAACTGTACATCGAACTTGGATCCATTCTTCGGAGAAGCCCAAATACGATTCATAGTAGCATGAATCGATCTCACATGTGGTGCGTCTCCTATGAAATATCCCACAACATAACTCTTCCATAGCGAGTCAGCATCATCATATACGTCCTCTGGGATGAGCATCAAAGCCACGCCATTAGCAATATCGATTGATGGCAAAACCTCCTCCACTTAACTGTTCTTTGACCACGGAGATTTAGGGTTTTTTTACTTCTAACGCCCCCTTCTCTCCATCACCAAGCTCAGGAGTGACCGCTCTCGTAGCACTCATGCTCCGATTTCTGCTGCCTCCCGATCCGTCATTATGGTAGCGGCTGTCGCCTTCGGTTTCGCCCTCGGTGTCGCCCATTCTGTTTTAAAATTATATACTTTAATTGTGTTATCCCCCTATAGAGTTTGTTGATTTTAAAAGTTGAGAGATTTGTTAAATTTGGAAAGAGTTATAGAGAATCCCCTATATATTATTTGCGAAGTGATTTACCACATGTCTTATATACAATTATTTTAATAAAAATGATGACATGACAATTATATTTTTTGTTGATATATATTTTAGTAAATTTTATAAAATATGACAATAACTGATACATTAAATTTAATGTTAATTTATATTTGAACTTCTAAAAATATAGTAATAACTCATAAAAAAATCATCACTAAAAATAAATATATTGAAGTATGCATTATAATTTTGAAAGGTTATTTAGTTTTACTTTTATAATTATAAAATTTTTATTACTAACATTTTTAAAAAATTCTACCTCTTTTTAAAAACTAAATAAAATTTTATTCGTAATATCATTAGTTTCTTTTAGATGTCGAATTTTATAAATGTTGTTTATTTATAATTTTTTAATAAATATATAATTTTATATGAATTTCTTAGTAGTCTATACAAGTTGATTTAATACATTTAACCAAAATAAATAGATAAAAATTCTAAGATTAGATTTAAATATATCACATATATATTATTAAATATAATTTAATATACAAAAATTTATTTTTTATTAATTTTGTGCTTAATTAAATCAAACTTATATTAAATATTAGTTAAATAATAAAATATATAATATTAATAAATTTCATTTTAAATATAATTAGCTTTTATAAAATTTATCAATGCACATGGTGCAAGCAACACCTGATTTTGTATATTTTGAAAATCTATGAAAATAAAGTATTACAATGATTTTAAGAATCCAAGGGCTACATGTAGTATTCTCAAAATTTTCTTTTGAGAGTTAAAATGTTAAGAATATAACTCCCAATAACACTTACTTTAATAGATTTATAAAATTATTAAAATCTAGACTTTTGATAACAAATGATTTTGTATAGAATTATAAAATCATCAAAACAATAACCCTAAATTTTAATGAAAATGTAAGAATCAATAAACCAATAACACTAGACTTGAAAATTCTAATAATCATTATAAATCTTATGGCCACTAACACCCTCTTATTCTTCAAACAAAACATTTACCACCAGACCTACTATGGATACTTAACATATTTTATGAATAGTAGACAATGATGCCTAAGTTATTTTATAAATAATATTTAAAAATAGGTCTCGTTTAATCCCAGCGTAATCTCGATTAATTATTATTTCGCTAGGCCTTCATCATCCTCCCAACTAACGCCTAGCGCCATTCCAAACATGGCTTGAAACTAATCTATACATAAAGTGACTGTTTGTATTTACATGAATCAATTTCTCTTACTCTACCTTTTCCGTTTTTACTTAGTTAATTAATAATTGACTACGTTCTTAACACCTCTTGGATTCCGCTTAATATATATTCTATCTAAACAGAGGAACCCTTCATCTTTGATTCTCTCATCGATTCTTCTTCTAGTCAAATTTTATTACATATTCTCGAAAATAATTCCATCTTCAGCTCCAGTTGCTAAGGGCTGATTAGTAGAACATTAGCATAAACATTATATTTTTTATTATCTAATCAACATTTATGAGAAAAACATTTAGAAAAGCATTTATAAGATGCTAATGCTCTCCGAATGCTATTTGCTCAATGCTCTCATATGGAGCATTTGGAAGAACATTTTAGTTAGAAAATATAAACAAAAAATATAAAAATTTATACATATGTTTTTTTTCAAAAACAAACTGCAATTAAATAATTTTAACTTAAAAATATTAATTATATAATTTATATAATTACACATATCATTCATTATTAAAAAAAATATATATCTATATTATTTCAAAATAAATTAATTAATCATTTACTTCTCTACAAATAATCTAATAATAATAATTTAGGGAAATTTCCTAGAATATACCTAAAAGTTTTTTGTCACAAATATAGACCTCAAAAATAAAAGACCAAAATAGACTTAAATGTTTAACAAAAATAAGTAAATATACCATTTTACCCTTTGGTTAAACTAATCCTAGACCTTTTTTGTTTTGAGTTGAGGAGTGGAGTTTTGAGGATGGGATTCCAAGTTTTACAAAATTAAAAATAAAATAAAATTTTCCAAATAAAAAATTTTCTTTTGATCATTTTAGTTTTTGAGATCTATTTTTGTGATAAAAATTTAAAAATGTCTATTTGAGAGAATTGCCCTAATTTATATCAAAATTATATATAATTAATTTCTTTTAAATAAAAATATTAAAATTATGTTTATATCCAAAAATAAATTTATATTTTTACAATATTTTTACATTTTTAAAATATAATATTTATGTAATTGAAAAGATTCATTATTTTATGAAAATTATATTTTAAATATATATTATAAATACATAAATATAAATATATATTATTTTAAAATAAATATATTATAAAATTGTATAGTGCTACTGCTCTACAATTTATTTTATTAAAAAACTTTAGTGAGATCATATATTTTCTGCAACATATTACTTCTACATCATATTGTTATTGTTTTATCATCAATTGTATCAATCGAGGCCTAAAACTGTTGCATGTCTCTCAACTTTCGATTCTCTTTACCTTGGTCGAACTACTCAGTTTTATGGTGGCTCTCTCCGCCTCTGTTTCTGGGATTATCAGAACATAAAAATGGTGAATTTATGGAAATTAAAGAAGATTGAAAAGAATATTGGCATTTAACAAAAATGCATAATTAACCCATTTTTACTCTAGTAATTAATAATGGACCACATTCCTAACGCCTCATGCATTACGCTTAATATATACTCTATCTAAACGGAAGAACCCTTGATCTCTGATGCTCTCATTAATTCTTCTTCTCGTTAAATTTTATTAATACTTTAGAAAATGACTTCATCTTTTGCTCCAGATGCATGTCTCTCAACTTTTGATTCTCTCTATCTTGGTCGAACTGCTCATCTTATGGTTGTTCGCAGCCTCCGTTTCTAGAATTCCCGGAACATAAAAAAATGGCGAATTTATGAGAATTAGAAAAGACTAAAAAAAACCTTTAGCATTTAACAAGACTGCATTTGGTTGCCGCTATATGATTTTTTAGAACTTTATTAATTAATACAAAAGATTTCACAAGCCATATCGGTTTAGTTTATATATCAAACAACAAAAAGTATAATTAAACTATATAATACATTAACTATATACCCAATTCCCCACTTGTGGTATATACCCGATTCCGCACTTGTGGGAAGCGTTTAGTGTATATATCAAACAACAAAAAGTATAATTAAACTATAGAATACATTAACTATATACCCAATTCCCCACTTGTGGTATATACCCGATTCCGCACTTGTGAGAAGCTATACCATAAGTGAGTTTAAATAGAAAAGATAACAAATAATGGAGGTAATTTAGTGGTAGACGGAATACAAGGAGACATATTTTCGAATCAATCCTACAATACTTCAGACTCCTTTTGAAATTTCGAGTGACCATCCGTATGATATACTTTTCCTTGAGAGATTAATATGGATCCTTACCATAGATTACAAAAAACAAAAGAAAGACAAAAGGATGCAAAAAGATCATCATCAAAAAGAAAACTAACAATTTACGGGAAGGAAGTATCCCGACGTTCATTCTTAGGACTCAAAAACGGCACACAGTTAATTTATGTAACATAAAAAGCCAATGAACAAATACAAGAAAAAAAAATCACCAAAGCCGTTCTCATCAATCTCCATACAGAATATCTTTCATGAGATTCCTAGCGGGCTATGAACAACTTCACGATAAATGTGTTAATATCTCTCAGTATATAAAGTGGAAGCAAATATTCATTGCCTATTAGCCTGCCAGAAACACACACAACATAACCATTATTAGTAAATAATATAATAACAAATCTTCAAGAAGTTTAAAATAATGATGGAAAGAAACCTTTTTAAGGAACTTTTCATGGATCTTCAACGCTTCTTTACAAGCTTTTCTCGCATCAAGATTACCAGCGATGTCTCCTAGTATCTGCAACACAACCACAAGTTTGACTTTAATGGAGTGTGGTTTACGGCGCTTTAAGAAAAGAGAGAGAAAGAGAGACCTGAACAACGTCGTCTAAGCCCTTAGCTTCCTTCAAGAGACGTTTGTTCTTTGTCTGAAGAACGCTAGCGACCACGAAAACAGCAATCGTATTGCTATGTCGCTCGTTCTTTCCGCTGTTCACGTATTTCCTCTCAAACTTTCCATAACGTTTTAGTAACTTTGGATCGTCTGCTGCGTTGCTTCGGTTTTCTAGTTCCTCGTATGTTGCAAACATGTTTGGATTATACTCCATCGCCCACATCAGCTGTAACCAAAAGAATCAAATTATTCTCATTATCCGAACAACAGCAAAAAAAAAAGAAAAAAAAAGAGAGCAGTGTTGCTAGTTACCTCCCAAAGGTACAAAGAGTCGAGGAAGGAGAATTCTCTCCTGAAAAGTACCATCAACATCCTTATAGCAAACAGATACTCCCCACCATCCAGATCCTCTGTTACGTTCAAAAAAAGAGTATTAGCTCACCAACCAACAAGAAGAGTGTTAGCTCAACACGCTTACCTAGATGCTGATGGAGCCGAGGATCAACCGTTTTAATGACCTGTGAGAGCACACCCAGTTGTGTCTGGACACCCATTGATGTCGCTGTTGCCCTGAAATTTTCTCTCTGGAAATTCAAGAAAACAATAAACCGTCAGGAGAATCAACATGTCTGGGGATGACAAAAACATGAAAGATTCTTACCAGTCTTCGCATTGCACGCTCAAAGCACCAGAAAGCATCGGCTTCATCTTCAAAGAGAATTATCATTGGGGAACATATATCGTTCATGCCTACATAAGTTACAAAGTGGACCGGTTGTTTTTCCTTTCTTATGTTTACAAAAATGTTAATCGTGAATAGCAGCAGCAAGTACACTAACCTTGAACATAACCAATATCAAGATTCAACCATGTATATATGGCAAGAACATCCCACAGTTTTGATTGATTACCACCATCCTCATAAAAGGAGAGATACCGATCTGTTCTAGCAACGTCAAGGCCTGCAAAAACAACCATTAGAAGACCGTTGTAACATAGTAGCGGTTTCTTGCAGAAGGTTGTAAAGTTATATTTAAGAAAATTAATAGCATACCGATCTGATGCAAGGAGAGCATCCATTGGAGTACTCTCTCGTCTCTAACAGTGTCTTTGACGAGCCATCCTTGATTTTCAACAGAAGATTCATCTATTGGTTCCCCATTTTGAGAAACCACAGCCATAGTGATGTACTTGCCGCTACCAACGACAGGAACCATAGTCTTACATTCTTGTTTCCATGCAGCGTACTGCTCCCTAATGCACATTTCAAAATTTAGGCAATGAGGTGATGGAAACTAGTAGAGTGTGCAGAAGATGCAAAAACCTTCTTAGATTCCTGAGCTTGGTCCTTTCATCAAAAGTGCTGTCTGGATCGTAGCATCCTAACAAAAACTCCCAAACAGCGCCTTTGATGGAGGGGTGAATGCCCTGACAAGAGTAAGCAGAGAGTTGAGCAACAAAAAAAAGGGGTAATAATAAGAGAGAGGAGAGGAGAAAGAAGACTGACACCACGCTGAATACGTCTGAGGACTTTTTCCATATCCAAATGGCCATCTTCAGTAAAGGCAGCGTGCCATCTTCTAGCACTTAGAGTTTTTCCAGCCTGAGAGATATATGGATTAGCTAGCAATTCCTCAAAAGATTCAAAAAAAGAGAGAAAGCAGGACGAACCCTGGATTTAAAGCGGGTCCTGGGAACATCAGGTAGACATTCAGGTCTAACTGGATAGAAACCTTGCAAATCTTCTCCTCCTGATCTCCACATGAATGGGCACCAATACATCCAATCTTTTTATCAAACCAAACTTATTCCCCCAAAGAGATCATTCATCAGACACAACCCAATACCAGATCTTCTCTTATTAGATTGACCACAAAACGAAAACTTGACAATATGAAACCACACCAAAGAGTATATGATTCAATAATTATCTTAAAAATTCGAACATCAATTCAGAGAAATCCAGAATCAATCAACGCAATTGTTTAAATACATGTAGAAAAGAAAACACATAGAGAGAGGCTCAGATTGGGATCCTTAAGAGGCGGACTCTCCTCGACAATCTTCAGACATAGATATATATGCCTCTATTATTATGGACTCTGCTCCCTCTTCTATTTCTAGTAGCCATGACTCTGCATTCTAACCGGACCACAATCCACAAATTTATGACTTCCGGTTTAATTCCCATCCATTTCAATTTTCTAACGGATTCAACTCTCTCTAAACCACTATGTGCTTTGACTAGATTTTAACCAATAATAAAAAATAACTAGATTTTGACCCGCGCAACAGCGCGGATGTTTGTTTTCATTTATACTTAGTTTTATAAAAAAATTGTTTTCACTTGTAAATTGATATATATCATAGTAATCACATATTTATGATATGTATAGTAAATGTTTTTCAAACATAATAAAATTATATAATACGTGTTTTAATCAAATAGATTATTTCAAATTTTCTATATTATACATGTTTTTCAAACATGTGTTTGTTTCTTCTTCTATATTTTATTGTTTGTTAGATTAGTATTTCATTTTTAGATAAATTAATATAAATAGAGCTTGATTAAATATTAGTATACTTTAATTTTCAAAGATAATATAAACTTCGAAGATTTTTTACTAAAAACTAAACTTATACCTTCATAAATTAATATTATAAAGAATTTTATTAAAAAGGAATTTTTTAAAAAATTTATTTTCTTAAAACAATATAATTTTAAAAATTTACATCGAAATAAATTTATCTAGTATATATAGCGTGTAAACTTTATTAGGGTATATAAATATTCCATATTACGAATATGTGATTTTTGTTAATATATTGTGGATGCATTTAACTATTATTGACATATTTCCTTATAAATAATAGCAAATTCCTAAACTTACATCTTTTGACATATTTTGTGTGGATAATTTGGAAGGTGTGTAATAATTTACCAAAACAAAATTGTTAAGCGTATATTTGTTATTATGGATATGATTTTTCATAAGATATAATAATGATAAGATTATTAGAGAGTTAATGTAACATGATTTTCTAGTAATGGTCCATTTTTAAAACAAATCACACATGAAATCAAGTCATGACTTCTGTTTTAATATATAAGATATACTAAAATCAGTCATAAATATTTTAATATAAAATTAATAAATTTTACAATATTTAATAGATTAAATTAATTTTTTTATTTTAGAATAAGAATTATCTTTCTTATATTTAAATATAGCCAAAAATAAAATAAAATAAAATAAAATAAAATATCATTTAAATGATATAATCTTACGCCTAATGGTACATTTTATTTAAATGGGGTTGTGAGTTAATAATGATCAATTTACTAGTTTTATGGATAGTAAGGCTGGGAAATCAGTATTCTGATCAGATTTTGATTCGAGTTCATTTGGATTTTCGGATTTTTAGATTTCTAATTTTCAGTTCTAGTAGATATTATAAAAATTTAGATCAGATTGAGTATGAGTTTAATCAGAATTGGTTTGGATTTAGTTACATGTTCAAGATCCGGATGAACCTGAAATAGTTTCAATTTCAGATATAAATCGATTTATTGATTTCAAAAATATTGAATTGTACTTGATTAAACTCAATATATTTCCTATCTTATGAAAACGGGTTTGGTATGAGTTTTTTTCTAGCATTTTGAATTTTCGGATTTTTCGGATAGGCATTTAGGTTCGGTTTTGGTTTGAGTGGCCCATAACCCGAAATACTGTTGAACAAGATTCATTTAGAATTATGTCAAGTTGATCGATTATGATTCATTTTTATCAGTTCAAGTTCAAGTTTGGTTTAGATTTTTAGATTTGGTTTATTTGTTCAGTCCTTATGGACACACTTAAAAAAATTAGATTTTTTGGATATCTAGTTAGAATATGTCATTGGACAAGTACTATTTAGAATTATATCAGGTTTTAAACAGTTAACATTCCTTTTTTATCAGTTCAAGATTGGTACAGATTTTCGGATCATTTCAAGTTTGGTTTAGATTTTTGGATTTGATTTATTTGCTCAGTCCTGATGGACACACTTAAAAACAGCATCATTTCCCGTAATTATACGGAAAGGCAATTGTTTCAATATTTATACTATTAAAAGTAAAGGCATCCTTGAAAAATCGACTGATGAAAGTTATCTGCACCCTCATTAATGGCATTTTGGTAATTTATTTTTTGGGCTTACATCTATATATATATATATATATATCGATTTGTTACAAATCATATCAAATATTACATATACCAGAATTATTCTCTCTATTCCCATTAATTACTCTAACCATATTTCATTCTATATTTCATACACTTATATTGAGTTATACACTTTATATTACACGATTTAAATTTATAGATTTCCAACATTATAATTTTTGATATTTTTGGTATATGCATCATATATCAATGATATGATGCTATATTTCATATATTAATATTTTCATATAGTTGTACTACACTTTATATTTCAAAGACTATACTCTATAAACTCATATTACTTTAACCATGATATGATGTTATATTTCATATATTAAGATTTTCATATAGTTGTACAACAGTAATGATCAGAACATGGTTATGCTATATTTCATATATTAATATTTTCATATAGTTGTATTACACCTTACATTTCAAAGACTATACTTTATAAACTCATATGATTCTAACCATGATATGATGTTATATTTCATATATTAAGATTTAAAACACAGTTGTACTACATCTTATATTTCAAAGACTATATGATATAAACTCATACTATACTTTATATTACATATATTAATATTTTGTTATAGTTGTAGACATTTGTTAATGTTTTATATAATATATTGTCTATATCGACATTTTCATAGTTTCGCATACTATATCAACCATTTTTTAATGTCACACTACTTTTATCCTTCATTTATATAATATATTGTCTATATTGACATTTTCATGAGTTTTGCATATTATATAAACCATTTTTTAATGTTTCTCTGTTACATGTACTTCTATCATGTATTATATAATATATTGTCTATAAGGAATCCATTCAAATGTCTTTCATTTCATGTTTTTTTCTTTATATGTCGACATATCATCATTCTCATGGTGACATTTAATGGACGAGATACGTTTTGTTAAGAAAATATTGCAAAAACTATTTTCTATAATTATCTACCTACTAAAATAAATAAATTGCTTCATCTACAAGTTTATAAATTAACCACAATCAATATCGTGGTTATTTATTCTTTGGTTAGATTCCATAAATTTCGGTAATTTACCATAGTTGGATTACCATTAAGTGTTAAACTTTAAACTTCATATCTAATTCAAAATATCTTTCAAGAAATATTCATTATTCCTCAAAAGAGATATTTTTAAAAATCGTCTAAATACTATGCCTTACATTTGCGTAACCTAAATGTATATTGTCCCTACCTATTATAAATATAGCCTCTCTTAACCACTATATTCATCATTCCTTGAAAAACCTAAAACAAAAACGGCGAATAAATTGCAGTTGTCTTTCTTGAGCGATATAAAACCGAGGAAGACTGCATGTCTTCATACATGGAGACATTTCATGAAAAACATATGGGAGACCATGGAATTAATTCCTTGTGATGCAAATGTAAGTTTATCGTTTTATATAGATTTATGATTTAGATATCTTCATTTCGTAAGTTTAATATATTTAATATAAAAGATATAGGCCTATAAACATATTGATTTATAACTTGATATGCAATTCTATTAGTGGCAAGAGAGTAGTTTGTTGTCTTAAATTTGCTGAGAATCTTAATACAGCTAGCCAAGAAACAGAAGACATGGTGATATGTTTTCTACGATTTGCTAAGATTGCGCAATATAGAGGTATTCCTTGAAAATGAAAAATTATGTTTCGATTTTGTACTAAATGACCATTGTTTATATAGTTGAAAATATGTTTCTACTAACTCAATGTTTTGATATTCCTTCAATTTTCTGTTTTATGTCAATAGAAATTACTCAAATGCGTATGATTTATTTTTGGTTATAGGTGAGGTCCAAATCTCAAATGCATATGATGTAAGTAGGACTGCGAATCTGAGTCATCACCCGCGGGTCCTACCCCATTTGACCCTCTGCGGAGTAGGTGCGGATCAAACAATTTGAAAAAATTGATTGGCGGGTGCGGGTTATGAGTATTTTATGCAGGGCGGGTGCGGGTTAGTAGATTTTGAATCGTGGGTTTAGGTTATAGACCCATCCAATTTTGGTTTCAATTTAATATGTGTTTTAATTCTTCATACTCTCACAACACTTAATTTTCTGATTATCAATTCAACCAAAAACTGACTCGGTTATGCAAAACTCGAGAAAAATACCTTACTAAAAAGTTAAAATATACATAAAATTTCACATATAAAACTATCATATAATAGAAATCGAATCATTTGATATATTTTGTTACAATCAAAACAAAACCCTCGCTTTTCAAGTGCGGGTCAAAATCTAATTTAATTTTATTCATAAAGATGAAAATTCAATACCATCATCCTTTAAATAAGTAGGTGATGCAACATGGAAGCAAATTAATAAAAGAGTGTATTTCTTTTACAAAATTAAAATGTTCCTAAGTCAAGATTCGAACCTATTGAGAATAAAATCCAATATATATACAAAATGGTATCCATATACAAGTTTTATACACACCTTCAACACCTGCAGCTTGGTTTTCCTTTAAAGAAAACTACAATCATGTAAAAATGAAACAAATAAAAAAATGTATTCTTGCATGTCAAGAAGGATAGGACTTTGTCAAAGCATGAGTGGTCGGACACAACTCAACTCCAAACAAAACAAATTAATTAAACCCTTTTTGATGTTTTAGCAAGCTTCGGATTCTTCCTGCTTTGGCTTCACTTCAAGTTCTGGTGGCAAAAGTTTTAGAAAGCTTCCCTGAACAACCGGAGGAACAGGTGGAGGTCGATCACCAGCAGATCTCGTCGTTGTTTCCGGCGAATCCGATGTCTCTGATGATCCACCATCTATGTAACAGTTTAAATACATATAATTAGTAAAAACATGATCAAGGTTGAAACTTTCAAGATGCAAAAAATATAAGGATGTGTACCGAAGAGTGATTTGACCATTGGTGGTCGCTTCGACTTATTCTTCTTCTTTAACTCCGCTACAAAACAGCATGCATGCATTAGTAGTACCATTCAAACTCAGAGACAAAGAGACCAATGATGAAGTATATGTGTACCCATTCCAGGAACTTGGTAATCATTAACAATCTCGAAGTTCTTGTAAGTGTACCCTACAAAGTTTATGTCCTTTGACGACAGCATCTGCAAAAGTAAAAGCGGAACTGAATAAAAATACTTAAATGAATGTAATAAAAAAGCAATCATGACGAATCTTTGCAGAGAGGGAGTAGCTTTGCCTTCCTCCATGGGCCAGACTTGGATGATGTCTGAGTTTGTGATTCTGACTGCATATATTTACCAAAAGATTAATGATCAAATACAAAAGTAATAACCAAAGAACTTATGCTTTTATCAAAATATCAAAAAGATGCAAAAGATTAGTTGTTACCTCGTCAAACTTCTCAAAATTCTGAGTGTCTAAATCGTCATTGACCTCTGGAACAAAGGCTGCATCCATATCGAATATGGTATCCCAATCAACAGTTTCAAACCATGGATGGGCCTGCAAATTGGACAAAACAACTCATGCATTTCACCGGTTTTGAATTAGAGAAGCTAATAAAAGCTCTTCCATGCTTTTAAGAAATTTAAAAGCAAAACCAGTATTAAGAAGGGGCACACCTTGATTTCATCAGCACCTTTGGAACCAAGCCTACGTCTGACACTGCACAAAAGACTGTTGATCAGATCTTTTGCTTCCCGTGACAATATTGCTTCCTCTGGAAACTTCAAATGACTTTTCCAGTTTACTATCTGTAAACCCAAACAAAGAGTATGATGTCGATGTAAGTTTGAAGGTAAAAGTTCCCATTCTTATCTTGTTTAATTTGTGGTCTTTCTAGAGATGATGAAAGGGTATATATTACCTTTCTACAGGTTGACATAGGATCATCTGCATAGAAAGGAGGATACCCTACTAGCATTTCATACATGATAGCTCCAAGAGACCACCTACGTACATATCATTTTTATATTTAGCAAACTACAATTAGCGTCCTATGCAAGGGTGCAAATGTGTAACCATATTCTATTTCAAGATGGTGACACCATTTACTAGCTAAACAGAACAGAAGAGATCAAAATATGATTCGAGTATGTATGCTCATAATCTGTGATAATGCACTGATGACGAAAGAATATAGCTTTGAATTTCTTTACCAATCACACTCCATTCCATAGCCTTTCTTCAACAGAACTTCGGGAGCTATGTAATCTGGTGTTCCAACTGTCGAATAAGCCTGTCGTTGTTGTTTCGTGTGTTAATCAAACACACACACATAACACAGAGAGAGAAACTATATTACGTAAAGGTGAAGCAATAGTAAAAAGGTTAAAATCTCTTACTAGCTTTCTCCGGTTCTTCTGCCAATGTTCAAGCTGTTCCTGCTGTGTTCGCTTTGGAGCAGCTGATCCGGCCTCTTTCTCCTCCGTAGTAGATCCATTATTCGGATTGTTTGAAAATTCGTTTTCTCCAATTGCACTGCAGTCCAATGGTTTACACAATCCGAAATCCGACAGTCTCAGATGCCCATATCTGTCAAGCAGCAAGTTGTCCGGCTTTATATCCCTGCGAATAGCAAAAGAAGAAGAAAATAAGCTCTCATGCAAGAGAACACGAAGGGTTTTAATATTATTATACTCTCACAGAACCTGTGGATGTAATTGTGCCTGTGGATTGACTCGATAGCAAGAACTGTCTCAGCGACATAGAACTTGGCTTCTTCTTCGGTCAAAGTATCTTTGCGCATCAGTAGAGTCATCATATCACCACCAGGGAGATACTCCATCACAAGGTAAAGATGGTCATCATCTTGAAATGAACAGTAAAGCTTCACTATGTAGTTACTGTCCACTTCCGCAAGTAAGTTCCTCTCTGCTCTCACATGCTCAACCTTAATTTGAAATATATAAAGTTAAAGAGTCAGGAAGGAATGATTGCTTCACATACAAAACACCAGCGTTAGATAGGGAAGTCTCATCACCTGGCCTCTGCGAAGCATCTCGGCCTTCTTGAGCTTTTTCATTGCATAAACTTGACCTGTCGTCTTTTCTTTACATATTCTAACCTACAGAAATAGTTACAAGATATCTTTTAATAACCAGTACCTGGAGAAAATAAATTGTATTCCCGAAAGAAAGATGCATGGTATTACCTCCCCAAAAGCACCTTTCCCAATCATTGTAAGCAAATCAAAATCAGCAACGCCTAGCTTATGGCGTTGTAGGCGCATATACTCTGTCTCCTTCTTTTCCAAAAACTTGAGAAGATTGTTCTGATCTTCTTCGGACACATCAGCATCTGCCAGCTTCTGCTCTAGCATGCTTCGCCTGTTTAAATATCAACAACCAGAAGCTAAAGAATTACCGAATAGCGAAAAAAAGAAGGTTTTGTCCATTTTGGTTTCGGATAATACCTTTCTTTCCTCTCTTGGAGAATCTTCATCTGCTCTTTGTAATGATTCTCAATGTACTGTTTAGCAGCTGCGACTTTCTGCTTGGTAGTGTTTGAGACAGCTTCTTCATCAGTGTCCACGTTTGGTTGCTCATCCGCAGAGCCATTACTACCTCCACCGCCGCCACCTGAACCACCCTTATACCTGGATCCTCCACGCATCTGCCGCTTCTGAAACCAACCCTTTGCAGAATCCATATCGAATCCTTCCTTGAGTATAAACAAAGAATATCACTACAGATAAGCCAACGACATACACATGCGAAACTAAAAAAGCTGAATATTCGAGAGGATCAAAGAAACACCTAAAGAATCGGAAAATAAACACGATCAAATCTTAACAGATTACAAACCAAAGTAGGGAGAAGAAACGAAACACCAATAGGGAAGGGAGAAAGAGAGGAATGGAATGAGCGTGAATGTCTCTATGGCCCATGAATTATTGTATTGGCATTTAGATCCAATGTCTGCCTTTATTCTCAGCGTCATTTTCTCTGATTCTTTCATGCACATTTCTCTTGCCTTCTTTCACTTAAAATAGCGATCGACTTTATTATTATTATTTACCTTCACTAAAGAGCTTTGACTAGTTTTGGTAGTCGATATAGCCAAACCATTACAAGATATATCTGCTTGGATAATAGTTTGATAATAATAGGAATTGGTGGTTAATATTTACGAGTCGAATGACAACTATACATGTTTCAGAGGTAGACCATGTCGCAAGTGTGTCTCTCAGTTTACAGGAAAACCATTTATAAACTCTTTTAAGTCACACCACGTGATGAATTAAAAAGCCCTCAACAAACCATACATTTACGCTTGAAAACCGTTAAGTTTCTTTTGCATGTGATAGTTGGTAATGAAAACACTCTCTGGTCTGCTGACACAAATACTGAAACATTTTTTGGCTCCTAAAGAAAGAACATATGGACTCTACGCTAAGCTTATTAAAGCAGAGATAAAACCCTCTTCGGCATTCACAATACAAGTCAGATGGAAACCTCTTTTACGATTTAGATGGTCTCATCACCGGGAAAGAGGGCAGTCTCAGGACAGCTTCTTCTGTCTCCATTGGGTCTGATCTCAGAATCTAAGCAAGAAAAAAACAAAAAGAAGAAGAAGTGTTATGGCATAATCATTCAAAATAACGTGTGGTCAGAAACCTAGTGGATCCCTTTGGACTCAAGAATCAGTGTATTCTTTTCTTAGAGCAATGGTACAGTACAAACAGATTTTAGATGTAAACGAAAAGTCACAGAAACAGTAAGCATAGCTGCTGTTTTAGTGGAAGTAGTGAATAAATGGTCTTTATCCTCTCTTCGTAACAAAGAGTGTGTTTTTGGGCTTTACACAAAAAAATTAACTTTAAACCTGAAGCTCTCTAGTTCCATGGACTTTCTAGGCGAACAAATGCTATTATCATTACATTCTTCAATGAATCAATTAACTTTCACATTCAAAACATTACAAATCGTTATCATACATTCAACACTCATTTCTGATTTCAGCAACTACATTTTTCAGTTCAATTTCGAATTCCAATTCCAAAACAATAGAGAGAAAGAGATCCCTTATTACCGGGTCCTGAAGAACAGGTTTGGTGTCATCCACTGCAAGTCTGAACGGAGGTTTCTTCTCTGATTTCTCTTCCGATTTAACAAAACTCGAGGTGCTCGACGGAGTCTTTGAAGCTTTCCTCATCGCTCTCTCTTTTATTTTTTCTCGCCGGCGATCGAATTTTCGGAAAAACTATTATAGTTTATGAAAGACCCACGGGCACGTGCAATAACTGGGATCTTCATAAGTCAGACCTTATTGGGCTTACAAGTTTTTATCGAAAGCCCATTTATCCTTTACTTTTTTTTTTTTTGGTTCAACTCGACAATATATACATTGACGGAAAACCTCCTCCTCATAAACCCTAGTTGTATTCCCGGCTGTAAACAACATATCAACAGAGGTAACCATCTTGCTTTGTTAATTTTAATCCACTGTTTCTGTTTTCTTCTTCTCTGATTTTCGTTTTCGTATTCGCTCAGAGATTCATTGAAATCAAAGATCGACAATGTATCTTCAGTGCTATATCAACGAGAAGGGTGAGAAGGTTTACACCACTAAGGTACCTTTTGACTTTTCTAGTCTCAGTTTTTTTTTGTTTGTTAGAGATTGTAACATAACGGGTTATATTTCGGAGGGAGAGTTTGCAGACTTATATAACTAGACATCCTAGTTACTAGTACCCTTAGAACAGAGTAACTAGTTTCGAATGGTTAAAATCTTCTAAAATATTTGAGTTATCTTAGACATCCATTCAAGCTTGCTACCAGACATATTGAGCTTGATTTTGCTTGTTCATTCTCAACCTTTAGCCGATACAAGTTTTTTTTCATACACATATTGCTTTTACTCCAATTGTCATGCTTGCTTTTTATTAAGATTTTTTTTTCTGTGTGCATAAGTTCAAATAACCTTAGCATCTGTTTTTCCAGTTTCCACTGCTCACTGTTTATCACAAAATGTGTTGTTGCTTTAATGCTAAACATGAATCAAACTTAACTGTGCAGAAGGAATCACCCCTCGGGCTTGCCACTGAATCTGCCCATCCAGGTGAGTATTGCTTTTTGTTTTGATACTATGTTTGAAGGAAACACATCTCTTGAGTTTAAAAAAATATATATATGTTTGCTGTTGCAGCCCGATTCTCCCCTGACGATAAATATTCAAAGGAGAGAGTTACGTTGAAGAAGCGATTTGGTCTCTTACCGATCCAGGGCGCACCTGTCAAGTACTGAAAGGCCAAAACACTGATCTTCTTTTGGTTTTCATGCTCTCCTATTGCTGCTATGTTTTCTCTTAGTGAAAAGTTGACTTGAACTGTCTGTGTATGTCTCAGAAGAAATTTGAGTAATTTTCTTGAACCTTAATTCCAAAAGTGCTACAATCGAATTTGGTTGAACAAACGTATCATTCCTAAGTAAGAGTTAAAACAATTATTTATGCATATTTGCACCCTCTCCCTCTCAAACAGAGAAAAGGATCGTCTTCTGTTCATCAGTGTTCTAGACCATTCACATTGTAAGTAAGCTTTGGGTAAAGTAAGCACCCGCCTCAGCGTTAGACCTAGCCAACCAAAGCCTAGTAACGCTAATCTACCTCTGCAATTTTGGCGCACTTCACTTGTATACGTGCTCTCCTCTTCCTGTTTCTCTCCAAACTCGAATGACCATCTCCCTTTCTCCGTTTTTCTTTTTTCGAAACTCGAGTCTCATCCTTTGTTGAATATGACTTAATCCTAACAGCTCGAAATGGGTCTCTGGTGGTGCCAGTGCCAGTGCCAGGCCTCAAAAGCAGCAACTCTGGCGGTTGGTTAACACCACATATACGTCCAAAATAGTAGAGAGGGTCAACATAACAAGAGGATGAAGCCACAATGCCTTTCATGCTCTTCGGCTTGACAAGATTTATGAACTCTCCAATCTCCTCGTAGCATGAGTGATCAGAGTAGTTCACCGAAAACATATTGTCATGGAAATGATGCACCGCACCTTGTAGTAGTAGTAGTTCTTTCTCTTTAACTGCAGGCTTCCTATTATTACAAGTAGTTGCGGCTAGAAGAGAGCCCGAGAGCTTGTCCTCTCCTTTGAATGGTCTTTTCAGCCAAGGGAGACCCGAAGGCATAATGCCGATGGTTGGACACATCAGATTCAACCCCTCGAGTGTCTGAATGCTGAAACTATAACGAGGGACAGCACGGACTCTTGTAAGAGATGTATCGGTGGTGAAAATGTCTTGGAAACCAAGGAGATGCATGGTACGGAGCCGCTCTGGCCAAACCCAAATCTAAAGAACAAACAAAGCAAGAGAGGGATCACTATGTAATGCACAAACGCAAAGAGCGAAGGAGAACAAAAACAAAACCTTGATGTTGAGAATGCGGGAGAGATGAACAAGAAGGTCTTCCTTGCCGAGAGTGTCAACTCCAATGACGATATCATGGGAAGGATGAGAGAGGATAATGTCAGCAACGAGATTGGCAGCGACTTGACGAGAAGGGAAGGTGTAGATGGGGTTGCAGTAGGTGTTATCCAAGTAGAGAATGTCGACGGGGAATTCGTTGATAGCAGTGACGAGAGTGGTCTTTGCTGCAGCATTATCATCACATTCCCAACGGAAATCTCCTGTGTAGAGAAAACATCCGAATTCTCCACGGAACATGAACATCACCGACCCTAAACCAAATCCACCACACATTCCATTAATTAATACACAGACAAAGCAAAGCATCATTGATTGATTATATAAGCATATACCGGGGCAGTGGTGGGCGTCGATGGCCATGAAATGGAGGAGAACGGGGGAGCCGGAGGAAGGAGAGCGGAGGGAGAGAGATTGCCAGGAAGAGAGGGGGACGACGCGGAGCAAGGAGAGGTCGAAGCCTGGGAATCGGGAAGGGAAGAGAGAGGCGGTGGTGCGGGAGCAGAAGAGAGGAGCATGGGACCAGTTGGGGGAGAGGCCACGGGTGTGATCGGAGTGCATATGAGTCAAGAAGTAGGCTTGACTTCCACTCCTCCACCGGTCCACCGATATCAAACCGCTCTCCATCTCTCCGACCATCTCACTGTTACTTTCGCCCCTTTCGGTTTCTATTTTTGGGGTCATTTTTATTGGGCCTTATATAATATCTCGACACCAGGTTTTTTTAATGGGCTTACTTATTGTAGTTAAGGCCCATTGTAAAAAAATTCACCTCTGTCATATATTCTTCATTCAGACAAAAATAAAATCTCTTCCGGTTCTGCGAATTGAAATGAAGAATATCACAAATCCTCCGGAAACCTCCGCCGGAGGAAAGAAGCGTCGGCGAGAGGAAGAGGAAGTTGGTTGCAGTCACGCTGCAAATGATGATCAGTGTTTTTCTCTCCGTGAGTCGAATATGGATATCTTTTTGTTATTATTGAGAGATTGTATGTATGACTTTGGGATTGGGTTTATATATGTTTGTATCAGAGGATGAACTTACCTATAGCGATACTTCTGTCGCGCTTCGGATGATGCGGGCTCAGTTTCCTCGCATTGACCAGGTAGGTATCTGTTAATTATTGAAATCAATTGAACATTCCTCTCATTTTATTTTGTCTCAGGCTTCGGTGCCGCCATTCATATTACAGTCGCAGTTGTACAGTAGCGTCAACGATAGAACCCAAGTCGATAGAGAACTTGAGGTAATTCGCTTTCCCTACTCTGTAACCAACCATATAATTTCTGTTTTCTCATATTTGCCTGCGTGTGAAAGTTTCTATTTTGGGGGACCTAGATTCAAAACTCACATCTTTAATCATCTTTCTATGTGGTGCAGCTTCTAAGAAGGGATAAAGTTGTTCGTGTTTTCAAACTCAACACTGGACAAGATGATCATGCTGTTATCTTTTTGGATGACTATCTTAACCAGGTTGGTTATGCTGTCCTTCCTTCTCTCGTGTATTATTTACATTTGCGGTAGTCCATTTCTTTGTAACCCATTCAATATGTTAAGGTTGATCGAATAGTAAAGAGGATGGAAGGGAAAAAACAGAATGATACTGATATTTTCAAGTGGTTCAAAGAACATGTCGTTGATTCTAAACTCGAACCCAGTATTGGACATCATGAGCTTGTGAGTCATTTTACTTATCTCTCTTTGTCCTCTACATGATGGATGCCTAAAGTTTTCAAGCTATCAAATAAAATTCAATGCAGTGTTCTCTCTTGTCATTGGGTGGAAAGGTGAAGGATGAGCACATCACTCTCTTAATTAACGCTGGCCTTCTCGTATGTAAATGATTATACACTCTTTCATGTATTCTTTTTTTTGTTCTCTCTTTCTGACTCGTGATACCATTTTCTCTCCCAGACACGCCAACTTATCGATCCAGACATGTACTGGTTTGCCATTCCCAATATTGGCAAACTGTGGAAGGCTCTGTTGCAGGTAACTTCCTAAAATAAAACTCTTCTTGTCAAGTGATAGCATTAAATCTAACTCTGGTGATCAGGGAAGGAAGGAGCTACTCTCGTTGCTAAAGCGCAAGCGACATAAAGAGATGTTCATGGCCGAGCTTGAAAAGAAACGACTCCGCTACTCCCCTCTCGATATGAGATTTCACCTTCGAGATCTCATTGGCTCCCGTCACCTCAAAACTTTTCAAACCACTTCTGGTTTGGTTGTTCGTGTATCAACCGACTAACCCTCTTGTTCCAGGTCTCTCAACACAACAGACAGTCATCGCCGGGACTCAGTTTGATTCATTTTTATTAAGTACACACATCCGCTTAATGTTGTCAATGATTTAGCCAATCTTGTTAAGATATATATATTGTTCAAAAGGAGAAGAGTCAAAGCTAAATCAATAGACGATTGTGTTTTTTATACAGAATAGTTGACCTTGCTTATACACAGAGAAATTAACTACTACTTATCAAGCCTGCTTATGAGTAGTGTAAGTTGCATCCACTGCTTTGCTGGAATCCAGTTGGCTTCTCAGTCTCTGTCTCGAAGACGCTTAACTGATGCTCTGTACAACAGGGTTAGAGGTGTTTGGTTTTGACGGCTAAGCTCTTTTGGCTGGGAAAAGCTTTAATTCTAAGGCAAGACATGACGCAAGATGGTAAAGATTCAGTAGATAGAAGAAGATCAAAACTCAAAAGGGAGGTAAGAGATGATTGTATACAAGTTGATTTTGAACTTAGTTCGGAAGACAAAAATATTATATAATCAAACAAAATCTGGATTGTATAAAACTGGATAGCGGACCATAATAAGTCTCACATAACTGATAAGATTATAAAAGCATCATGACAATTAGTTAACAATTGTAAATGTTTCTTATTTTCTAAAGAGTGTTTTATCATCCCCTTGGGACTAACAAAAGTAAAAACCCTTACAAAATAGAGAGTGAAACTAATCAAACTTTCGTCAAAACTTATACCCCGGAAACATGGAACCCAATTCTTCCAGAGAGAAGAACACGAAAAATGAGGGAGGAGTGAACAAGATTTTGAGTAAACAATGCTCTTAACGATGCATTGCAGAGAGGGAGAATGATAACTTTAAGGTATAAACCAAGGAATGGTTTTAAATGAGAGCTTGAGCAGCACCAAGTTTACATATATCTCTGAGCCTCCAAATAGGATACATAGATTCCTCCCCTGCCTCCACTTGTTGCATTGCCCACTTGTAGTACACCGAGTGTATCGTGTCCTTACATCACACAACAACATAGTCTTAGAGCAGTGTTGATTATATATGTTTTTTCTGGGTTTGATTTATCATCACTGGTACACAGTTTCTATTTACCTTGCCTCCTTCTTTGATGTTGCCCTTCTTGTCACGAACACAGAAGATTTCTTGTGTTTGGAACTGTCATAAAAAAATGATCAAATCCATCAAATGCACATCTTATTTAAAAGTATGTCATCTCTCATAAGTAGAAAAAAAAAATGGAAAATCATATACCCTAACAATGATTGTGGGCGTAGTTCCTATCATCTTTGTTTCTTCAACTTCCACTTCCGATATATGCAGAATCTAAACAACACAAATTGAAGCCACTGAATCACGTGCTTTACATGATCTCGTGGTGTGAAGCCAAGTTTAACAAAACAGGCTTACCTTGTGATCGCAAAAAAGATCATGGCCTTTTAAAGCTGCAAGCTCTGCCGTGCACCGTTCAATCACTTCCGGGCAGCAATACTTCTTCAACATCTCAGCATCTCCCTGGCTCGGAGATAGAAGACTTATTAGAGGCAACAAAATTTAAGATGGGAATGTAGATGATCCACTTTTGAGACTAACCTTGCTATATGCACTCAAGACTGGTTTGATGGCTTCATGAACTTCTGCAGCAAAGTCCGTCAAGGAGAACGATCTGAAAATGAAAGAGATATAAGAATATTCAGTAACCGAGAGGAGGCAAATTCTCTAAAACCAATCAAAGCCTCTACCACTTACGGATCTCTGCGGCGTATCTCCTTGTAAGTTGAGCCAGAATCTGTTTCGTTAAACACTGCCTCATTTAAGCTGCCAAAAACATATATAAGTTGCTGTAAGTTCATTTGTAAGGAAGATGATAAAAGGGGCAATTAAAGCATACTCCTGAATTTTGTGAACAATGGGATTGTCACTGGTCTCCCATCTTTCCACCACATCTTCTGCAATCTACACGGGACAAAGCAGTATCATCAAAGAGAGTACTGCGAGATAAGATCTTTGATCGAAATGAGTAAAGAGGGAAAAAATAGTTGATTACCTCTTGGCTCTTGTTGACAACAGGCTCGCTTATCCCGCTTAGACGTTTAAAAGCAGGATGAGCTTGCATCTAAACCAAAATTCAAAGTAAGCAAGAGCGTTACAAAACATGGCATAAACGGAAAAGAAAAGAGGGTAGGTCGCTGTTACCTTTTCTCTTAAAGACTCCCATTTCTTTTGCCACTTGGACTGTTTTGTTGGAGTAACCACAAGATCCGTTCTTGTACTTTTCACGCCTGTAAATGGTGGGGGAGGCGTGTATTCCAGGTGCTTCTTTTTAGGCGAGCCTCCTCGCAATTCATCCTTCACAATATCAATTCCCTTCTTCGCTAGGTCAAGCGGCGAAGAAATCCTTGATTTTATTTTTTCAAATAATGTATGTTGACCGTCTGTAGTGCCTGATTGCTGCTGCTGCTGGTTTTCCTCTTTGGAGGTTCCTGTGCCTGATGAACTCGCTGACTCTGCATTTTCCTCCTTACCGAGCTTGAATGACTCCTTGACCTGACAACAAAAAATACATAAACCAAATTTTAATCCCCAAAAAGTGCCACAATTGAACACTGAAAGGACTAAAAAAGCGGGCTTCCAGAAAACCTCATCTGTGGCCGCTGAGAACTTGTCTTTCACACTTGAAGAGACCTGCACCGCAAAAACTGTTTGGTAAGAAACAAGCCTATAGCCTTTAACAGTGTACAGAGTCGGGTTCTCATACAAATAAATCATTTTCATCAGTATAGTATTCAGTTACAACAAGTGATATTTGATACATACAGGTACACCAAATACTTTCGGAAAGAGGAAAACAATAAGCACATTCTTAACACAGAAAAACCAAAAAAAAATGCAAGTCCGGCAAAAAAAAGAGACAACCCCAGCTTTAGAAATAATTGTACAAGTTTTATATCTATGGACAATGCCTTTCAAGGATCTTGTAGTACCTTTTTAGCAACAGATTCAGCCTCGGTCCAGACACCATCAACTTGCTTGTAGAGCTTCTCAGTCTTTTCTTTTGTTCTGCGTTTGTTTTCTCCATTTCATTAATAAGCGAATACAAAGTCTGTTTCTATAAGTAAGTGCAATAGTAAATGAACACTTACTTAACTTTGAGGTCCTCTTTGACACCTTTAAGCTCTTCTGCCTTTTCCTTGAGCTCCTTCACTGTTCGTTGGAATTCAGGATTGCTGTGTAAAACAGCAACAACATAAGACACTGTAAAGAAAGTTCTAATTACAAACATACATAACAGTTGGAATCGAAAGGAGATACCTTTCAGCTTCCCCTCTAATTTTCTTGGAGAATTCGCTGAAAATGCTGAACCTGCGATTAATAGAGTACCCATTGGCTGGCATAAACCCTAGACTTGCCTGCAAAAATTACCAAATCAAATCAGCCCATTTCGTAGCTCGTAATCAGTACAGAATCGATAGATGTTCGGACCCGTTGATGCGTCAATTGGAGGAAGAGAGGCTGCCTTGTGATGAATAAATCTCGAATCAGCTTTCTACTCGCCATTACAACGATCCTCGTAGTGATACAGATTCGAAAAGGAGAGATGAAAGATTTTGCCTTGAGAAACAAACCAATTTGGAGTGTGTTGCCTTTAAGCCCAAATGATGCATTCGCTAAACCTTTTTCTGGGGTTTCTCTTTCAGACCGGCGGATACCATCTTGTTCGGTAACAGGGTTAAGTATATTACGTGTGGGGCTAGATAATAAAAGTCCAGAGAGATCGTATATGCGAAGACTTGCTTCCAAACTAAATATTTCACTAGCCTCGGCCCACATATGGCCCATAAACACTTCAACAAAACAAATTGAACCACTGAGAGGAGCCTTACTAATTCCTCTCATCGATATAAAACCCCCACAAACCTGTAAAGTTCCAGGATTCGGTTTAGTTGGATATTTCGGTTTGTGTATTTCTGGTTTCGGTTTATTTGGTTCGGTCAAGACCCACAGAAGTGAACAAAAAAAATTGGTTCGGTCCAGTTTTCAGTTAATTTCTTTTTTAATTTTATTTTCTAAAATAACTGATTTGCTGGTTTTCAGTTAGAATTTGGTATAATTTTTTTTTAAAAATTGGACATTTTGGTTAAATTTGAGTTTTGGGCTAAATCCAGTTAGTTCAATTCGGTTCAGTTATTTTAAATTTTAAAATAATTAAAATAATTGAAAATCAATATGAATTGAAGATCAAATCAATTTTCAATACTCTATTGAACCAAAGCGAACTCAAAATCGAACCAAAAACCGAAAAATTTGGTTCGGTCCGGTTCGGCTGGTTTTGTTCGGACATAATCTGCATGGCTAATGTAAACCATCAACTAGTACTTGTCTCAACTATGATTGAGATTTTTGGGGTTATTGATAGATGAATTTTATAAGGGAAAATTGTCAAATATGACTCAAAACTTGATTTGAAATGCAAAAGTAAACCCAAACTTGAAGCAAATGCAAAAGTAACTTAAAAGACTGTTGAAATTACAACCAACCCCTTGTGAACAAACAAAAAAAGAGTTTTTTTTTTACGTTTCTAGCCCTCGAAAGTCGTCTGAGACAGTTTTTCTTAAAAATAATTTAAAAATTGTGTAATAAATATTTTGATAAATGAAAAATTGGAATTATGTAATTAACATATGTATTAAGAGATATAAATTAATATATAACAAAAGTCAGTTGTTTTCAGCATAGATGAGTGAAAGTAGTGAGTCATGATATTCTTTAGTTTAGGTTTCACCAACATATGTTGTAGTATTGTATGTGTTTCTTAGGGTTAGATTTTTGAAATCATAAATGTTTTTTTGAAAAATTAAAAATTTACCTAAGTGTGTTTATTTTTGTGTATAGTAAACAATATTTAAATATAATTTGATTTTATAACGTGGTTAGTTAGTTAATTTAGTTTAGGGTTTAGGGTTTAGGGTCTGGACGACTTATATTTAAGTCGTCTGGTAAATATATTTAATAATGCAGACGACTTAGTCGTCTTATAGTATCAACGGACGACTTAATTATAAGTCGTCCAAACCGGATTTTACCAAATTACTTTTAAACCTAACCGTATTTTTGACCGGACATATATAAGATGTTTTTTTTTTTACTCATTTTTTCGCGAAATTCAGAAAACTTTAACGCCGTTTCTCTCAAAGGTGATTTCGAGGTGATTTCGATCTGATACAAGACCAAGGTAAATCGAAGGCTTCTCTTGCGGATTTATGGGTTTTTATTAGGATGGATGTTGTTTTCCTTTACTTTTACCGTTTTGTTTTGTGTTTTCAACGATTTCTGGAAATTTTGGTTTCAAATTAGGGTTTCAAAAATTGGGGATTTCAATCGATTTGTTGTTTAGTTAGGTTGGATGTTGTTTTCCTC